CTTGGCTGACCTTATCAGATACAAAAGTTACAATTCTGGGTATATAGATCTTGCTATATCTTGGTCTTAACCATCCAGTAGAAAAGTGTAAAAATGAGGTATATAAAGTAAATCCATATTAATACGATGAACTATAAAAGGTTCAAGTCAATAACTTCTGAGGATAACCCACTAATATTATAGACTGCTAGACAGTATTAGATGTTTAGTTGAATTCAAACACTTATAGTATTTAGATGCCAATAGAATTATTCAGCTCTGACAGGACAAAAAAATAAATAAATAAATAAAAATTTTAAAGAAAAAAAATGGAAATAGAAAGAAGCAGTCAATGCTCTAATTAGCTTCGTCTCCTTTTTTTCAATTGTTTGTACTTTTCCTTTTCTTAATTTCTTATGCATTGCTCCAGTTTTTTCTTCTTCCAATATTTGGTAATATGAATAGCTGGTTGTAAGACAATACCATGTATTACAACAAATACTGTGAAATTCATATTACTTTGTTAGGTAAAATTCTGTATGAGTTGTCAAAAAAAATAAAAATTAAAAAAGGCAAAAAAAAAAAGGAATTGAGCTCAGGTCCTTGCACTCGCTAGATAGGCCCTTGTGCCACAGAGCTGTGTCCCTGGCCCATGAGCCACCTTTTGCTTACCCATCAGTTAATGAACATGTATGTGTGTTGTTTCCATTTTTTACCTAGACTGGATAACGCTGCTATGAACGTTCATGCACACATTTTTATGTGGACCTACATGTTCAATTCTCCTCGGTGTCACCTAGGAATAAAATTGCTGAATCAGATGATAATTCTGATAATTCTGCCAAGCTGTTTGCCACCATGGCTGCATCATTCTAATTCTTATCAGCAGTGAGCATTCCAGCTTCTCCATATCCTTAACAACCCTCATAATTGTCCTTTTTTTACAGCCATCTTGGTGAATATGAAGTGGTGTATCATCTTGATTTTCATTACCCTACCAGATAATGATGCTGACCACCTTTCCCTGTGCCATTTACTGGCCATTTTTAACTAGGGAAATATCTATTCAGACCCTTGCCTATCTTTAATTGTTATTTTTCCTTTCATTACTGAGTTGTAAGATTTGTGTGTTTATTCTAGACACAATTCCTTTACCAGTAATTTGTAAATGTTTTTTCCAATCTGTCATTTTTTTCACTTTCCTGATGGGATCTTTTGAAGCACAAAACCTTTCAATTTTAATTATGTCAGATTTCGTTTTCTTTGTTTCATTTGGTGTCACATCTAAGAACTCATTGCATAATTCAAAATT